GAGAGAGGGGGATAAGGGGGAGAGAGAGAGGGGGATAAGGGAGAAAGAGAGGGGGAGAGAGAAAGATAAAGAGGGAGAGGGGGATAAGTGGGAGAGAGAGAGAATCATGCCTCCGTGTTCTGCATAGTATCAATAATGCAGCAAAAGTTCAGTAGGCACTCAAAGGTCTTCAGCAGGAGGAAATGATTAGAGTAGGTTTATTTTACTGCCCGCCTTTCTTGACTATATATACTATAATATGAAAAAATTATAGTTGTTTTACCCTTTTTTTTCATCCCTTGTTGCATTTCATCGCTGCTGACCTTCTAAACACTCTTTGCAGCCACTTCCTGTCTACATACACTCCAGCGATGGCTGCATGCCATTTCTCAGGCGGGTTTCCTGATGGAGACAACAGTGGACCCATGCCTGTGTAATGATTTTTAAACTGGGCACTTGTAGTCTCCATCGGAAGCCATATGACAGGGTGACAACGCACTTGAAGGTCCTAGTTCAGGCGTCTCCTGTTATAGGTGAATAATGATACACTGCTTTTGTGCCAGTCGAGAGACAGAGACAAAACATTGTGTCACCCTATAACAGGAGATGCCTGAACTAGGAGCTTCATTGGTGGCATGGCTGGGGATTATTTTAAAGACAATAATAAATATTATTGCAAATTTACAAATAATAAAATGACTTCTGAAATGACATTAACGTGTTAGGATTTACATCTATACCATGAATGAGATGTTCTTGCGGGGACTGTGGCTAGATGACAGAATGGTGGAACCCAGAACTAAAGGGATCTCCTCCACATCTATATGAAGCTAGTGGAAATTAAAATGTTGCTCTGTGTCGAAAATAGCAAATATGCAAGACATGCAGTGTAATAAAAAAAGAAAAAACTTTCATCTGTAACTATGAAGCCAGAAGCTGGTCAGACAAACCTCCCACAGCCAACAGCAACAAAGCAAGCAGGGAATCCATGTTCTTCAGTCAGAACTATCGGACTATCAGACCCGGAGGGGTATTTATTTAAAGTATTTCCATCGATCTGTTGACATGTGAAGTGCTAAATATACCGGTTATCTCCTCCTCAAAAAACATATTTATTTATTCTCACCGCCTGAAATATAGGTCAACTTTATCATAACCCTTTATCTACACTAAAAACAAAATAGCAACATTGCGATGACCTTGTACAATGTTTCTGTATTTTCCACCTGGTAAGAAGTGTAAAAGGCTGATGCAATTCTCGTAAGAAAGATCATTGCTGTTACAAAAACAAAAATAACTTGTAGCTTACAAAAGACTCCATAAGACGCAGGCACATTTTCCCCCTCCTTTTGGGGGGAAAAAAGTGCGTCTTATGGAGTGAAAAATACGGTATATATATATACATATATATATTTCCTGACACCAAACATGGCAGCATGCAAATGGGAGCGGAGCCATACCCATTCATATGCTGCCATATATTGGCGTTGGGAAAGGAAAATTACCGATAGGTAAGTATACAATTTTCCTGACACCAAACATGGCAGCATACACATGGGTATGGCTCCACCCTCATTCGTATGCTGCCATGTATTGGCGTTGGGAAAGGAAAATAACCGATAGGTAAGTATACAATTTTCCGTTTTCCTGACACCAAACATGGCAGCATGCAAATGGGAGCGGAGCCATACCCATTCATATGCTGCCATATATTGGCGTTGGGAAAGGAAAATAACCGATAGGTAAGTATACGATTTTCCGTTTTCCTGACACCAAACATGGCAGCATGCAAATGGGAGCGGAGCCATACCCATTCATATGCTGCCATATATTGGCGTTGGGAAAGGAAAATAACCGATAGGTAAGTATACGATTTTCCGTTTTCCTGACACCAAACATGGCAGCATGCAAATGGGAGCGGAGCCATACCCATTCATATGCTGCCATATATTGGCGTTGGGAAAGGAAAATTACCGATAGGTAAGTATACAATTTTCCGTTTTCCTGAAACCAAACATGGCAGCATACGAATGGTAGACATGTGCGATTCGTTTCGTTACGAATCAAAATTCGTACAAATTTTCCTGAAATTCCGAATTTCGGAAGCATCCGAATCCGAATTGCATTTTCCGAATTATATATCCGAAATACGAAATTCCGTTCCGAATTTCGGATCCGAATTTCTTTGAAATGGGAACTAATATTACCCCTGTAAATGAGGTTGAACAACATGACAAGATTTGTTTTAAAATCCGAAATACGGATCCACTGCTGCTGAGAGTTGCATTACAATACATACAGGCAGGAAATACGAAATTCCGTTATGGAATTTCGTTCCGTTACGAAAATCCGTTATATTCAGGGTAAAAAGCAATGTACATTTATTTTGTAGTTGATGGTAGTTTTTTTTAAAGTCCGAAATACGGAATTCGGAATACGGAATCCGTTAACAGAATTCGTATTTCAGATAAAAAAACAACTACCACATCGACTCCAATATTAACAAAGGTATTTTGCTTTTTAACGTCATCATAACGAATGTTCGTACAGTTACGAAACTATAACAGCCACTAATGAAATTTCGTATTTCGTACGAATCCGAATTGAGTTTTGTTCCGAAATACGAAATAACGGATTTTACGAAACGAAACAGAACAAATTTTTTGACGGCGCACAAGTCTAACGAATGGGTATGGCTCATGGGTATGGCTCCGCCCTCATTCGTATGCTGCCATGTATTGGCGTCGGGAAAGGAAAATTACTGATAGGTACGTATACAATTTTCTGTTTTCCTGACACCAAACATGGCAGAATACGAATGGGTTTGGCTCCGCCCTCATTCGTATGCTGCCATGTATTGGCGTCGGGAAAGGAAAATTACCGATAGGTAAGTATACAATTTTCCGTAGCTATTTGATATTTTACAGGTATTTGTAACACAATGTAGTATGTTTTATATAAATATGTATGTTTACAAAAATATTTTAAATTAATTTAGAATTTTCAATGAATATATTTTTATGTATTTTGTACTGAAAATAAAAAAGCTACCGTAATCTTGATCGACTTATTTTTTGTAATAAGGATGTGTGCTTACTTTATTAAAGGAGTTGTAAAGCCCCAGCATATCCTCTCCTGTTATGACATCCCCATTGTAATAGGAATATATACTAGGGCTGGTAATGATTAAAATGTTTGTGTTCGATTAATCAAAATTTTTTTAAATCGATCAATCGATTAATTTTGATTAATTATAACGCACCTACAGATCCAACTACATTGGCCTATACACATACAGCACAGCAATGAAGTAATAAAATGAACTAGGATCACACTAATCCGGCACGTTATTAATCTCACGTGCCCCACTCAATATGGCCGCCGCTTGAGCGGGGCAACTCAGAATAATAACGCGCTAAATTAGTGTGATCCTAGTTCATTTTCTTACTTCATTGCTGTGCTGTATGTGTATAGGCCAATGCCTTGGCTGGCGCTCGTGCAGAAAGTTTCTTGGGCAAACTCACCGGCCCAAGTGGTTCCGTCAGCTAACGAAGGGGGGAGGAGTCCGATGACCCTTCGTTAACCGTCACGGACATCAACGTCACCGGGTTCCTTCCCCAAGTGGCTACATCGGCTAACGAAGCCACTTGTGGAAGGAGTCCGGTGATGTTGATGTCCGTGACGTCACCGAATCGCCGACGGGACTCCCGGAAGCCGGCGGAGAGGTGAGTGTTCAAAATAATTTTAATCAATCAAAAAGTTTAACGATTAATCGAGAAATTAATCTTTAATTTCCACAGCCCTAATATATACTAGTTGATAATACAATCAAAGCTTATGGAAACTGCACTGATCAGCGCGGCAAAAATAGTGCAGGGAGCAGTTCGAGCAGAGGGGTGGTTCGGATTGCGCGGACCCGCACGGTTGCATGAACGGTCCAATCAGCCACGCAGCTGATTGGCTCCACGCAGCCGAACCGCCCCGGTGTGAACGGGATCTTGGTTTGTATTCGATAGTAGATTTGTAGATTCTGTATACTGTCTTTGTCTCCTTGAAAAAATAATTAAAGGAGAAGTATGAGGCGAGTGCTTTTCACTCACCTCATAGTTCTAGCCGACGTGTGACAATGAGACTGTCACAGGTCGGCTCAGTAGATCGGGAAGTGAGAGAACACATACCGACGTTCGCTCACTTCTCGATCCTTTCACGGCTCTCTGCCGTGACAGGGGAGGGGCTGGATTCCCCCCTCCCCGCTCCGATCCTCCAGCGCTGACTCGCGGAATGGACGGGGGAGGGGGCGGGTACAGCTGGCTCTGCCTCTAGATAGGCAGAGCCAGCTGTCACTCATGCAGCTGGGCGGATCTAGACATAATAGTCGGGATCCGCTTCAGCTGCAAGGTCTCCGTATACCGCGAGCTGTAGCTCGCGGTATACTGCGGCGTCTCAGTATACCGCTAGCTGGAGCTCGCGGTATACTGAGCCTAGGGTGACGGGAGGACGCTAGTTTGTGTCCTCCCATTACCCTAAGGAGAGCTATGGGGAAAAGCCCTGACCCCATAGTTCTCCTTTAAAACACTGGAAAAGGAAATAATGATTGAAGTCAGCACAGCGTCATCTTATTCAATAGGATGAGTGAAAATTTACTTAAAAACCAATCAGCTTAGTAAGTGAAATTAAGCCATGCTGACTTCAATCATCCAATCACATGTGAGCAAACATCCTGTTTTTTAAAAAAATTATTATTATTATCCTTGCATGTGATTGGGTATTTTTTTTGCAAAATTAATATTCACTTTGCTTCCTCTCGTTCACAAGATAAGTGAAAATTCACTTTGCAAAGTGTTCTGCTCTTTTTAGTAAATCAACTGAATAAAGATAAAGTAAAGCTGTGTGCTTTTTTCATTTCTTTAATCATCTCTTCTCCTTTTATTTAGGGCCGGTGCACACCTAGGCGATTTATGGCACGGTTTCAGTCGCGCGATATCGCACAAAACACAGATTCTCATTGAAGTCAATGGAGGCTGCTCACACCTTGGCGATTTGTAGCGTGACCGAAATCTCCTGTCGCGCAAAAAGGTGCAGGAGTTATTTTTGGGCGGTTGTCGCACGGTTTGGGTCCCATAGATATTTATATGCATTGAAAAACGCGCGACAATCGCGCAGCTTACAATGAACAGTTGCGCGATGGAAAAGGCGCAACAATCGCGCGAAAACAGCTCGGCATCTGAGTCGCCTAGGTGTGAACCTAGCCTTAGAGGGTACCAACATCAAGCAATTGGAACTTTACAGTGAACAGAGGTATTTGCAAAGGAAACTTTTTAAAAAACAATTTCAATGTTTATTTTTTTTATGATAGCGTATAATATGTGTACAATGTTAATGTTTAATTTTTTCTTTAAAGTTTTGCGCTAAACATTGAACCTTTATAATTATATAAAATGTTTCAAATTGATGCTTTAATTTAGTTTTTTGATAAATTCAAAGACTAATAAGCTGGAGTAGTGTAAACTGTATGTATAAGACGAATAAACTGGGATCAATTTTCTATTTATTTTTATTATTTAATTGAATGTGTCTTTTTTTCCACTTGATTATGTAACTTTGTAACTGAATACGTGATCATGTTAATATTATAGTCCTTTATATATGTATAAAAATAACCATTATTATATTATAATCATATACATTAATCGTTGAAAACACTTTGGGGTGTTTGGGATGACGTTCTATCATTTGGAAACATTCAAATAGATCATAGTTGTAAAGCTTGTGTCATTTATTTTTTTTAAATGAAGCTTTATGACACATATTAAACAATAATTTCCCCTATGTAGGATATATTATAATATAATATATATAATATTTATTTATATGTATAATATGTAAATAATAATCCTAAACTGGTAATATTGATATCCTCAAACACAAACAATTTAAACCAGAATTTTCTGTATTTGGAAGTACTCGCATCTCCGCTACCATCTATGCCAGGGATGGCCAAACTCCGGCCCTCCAGCTATGGTGAAACAACAAATCCCATGATGCACCTCTCTCCGGGAGTCATGTCTGTAGCTGTGAGAATCTTGCAAAGCCTCATGGGGTTTGTAGTTCCACAACAGCTGCAGGGCAGCAGTTTGGCCATCCCTGATCTATGCCATGTACTGCAGGCAAGCAACTGAATACACAACTGAGCAATACATCTTGGTCCAGGACCCTCCTCACCCTGTGATTGGATGATGAAGGTGCAGAAGGATCCTGAGGCCATCCCTTTGCTCTCTATACCTGAAGCATGTTTTCTCTGTTAGATGGAGAGCAATTTACAAAGCAGCAGAGCCCTTACAGGGGTGCCAGGTAAAAGCTGAGCCAATATGAAAAAGAACACTTAATTCAGTTTTGTGCTAATTAAATATAATTAAATGTATTTTTACATACAGCTAGCTTAAGTACCTGAATCGGTCTTGGTATGAACCCTTTGTCACCCGTGTAATGCAGCACTCAGAGAGGGAGAAGCAGAAATAGGAGCCAATGAGGACTCCCATGCAGAGCAAGGCAACAGGCTTGCTTTAATCCCCCTCTAGCCCGGCAGCATATTTGTACCTTTCCTTCACCTCCCCATCAGCACTGGAAGCCAAAGGAAATACCCGGTACTTCTAGGAATGGAGTGCATACGGCTCACCCCATGTAACAGCACTGGGTAATCAGCACCATCACATGGGGATTCCATATCCCTGTGCAAGCTCTGGCCCCAGCAAAGCAAAGTTGCTGGAGAGGGCTGCATTAAAGTACCCTACATGAGCAAAGCACAGGTTCTCTTTACAGAAGTAGCACTTTGGTGAGATCATTGTGCTGCTTCTTCATTGGCCAGTCACAGGCCGGGGTGGGTCTTGGAGTTTGTGCCCCCCAAGAGACGTGTGTGGTATGTGATGTCCTGTGCCCCACCTCCAGAATGGTGGCACACATGCCATGACAACAGGGGCAAGGGGGCGCAGCCAGGCCTGCCCTGGCTGCGCCCCTTCTCAGCTGCGCCTCACTCGCCCCATGGTAGCTACAGCCCTGATTTCGCGTCCCGCAGCTGCACGTAAACAAAGGGGCAAGATGGTTGTGCTGATGTCTTTGACCTTATATGGCCACTTGACCATATTAGGTTTGTGTCTGTGACACGGAAGGAGGTGCTCAGGTTCAAACCTTTCATGCCACTTAATCAGCTGCTGGTAGGGAATTCCCGGCCCACAGCTTGATGTAAGCAAAGGGGAGGGAGGCAGTGACATAATTGACCTTATATGGCTTCATGCCTATATTTGGTGATATTTGCCTAATATGGCTATGTGGCCATGTTATGTCAATTACATCAGTATAAGCATCCCGCCTCTTTATTTGCATGCAGCTGTGGGGCAAGAGGGTAGGGGAATGCCCATACCGCATCTGATTGGGTGGAACTGCCCTTGGCATTTCCTTGTTTGGAGGAGCTCAGGTTCTGAGTCCATCATCATCAAAGTCCACCATTTTCCCATACTTCTAGACAGGACCATAAATTCACGTAAGGCCACCGAGGCCTTCGCCTTGGAGCGGCAGGGAGTAGAGGGGCGGCACAGCTACTTGAGGTCCTGAGCTTGCTGGGGTTCCTCAGGCAGCTGTCTTTGATAGTGCTGGTCCGGTGGCGCATTGCCGCCTCCTCCTCCTTCCTGGCACCGACACAACACAGGACAGCCCCACATCCACCAGCACAGCCCTGGAGCCCGGCACAGGCCTGGATCCCACCCAATCAGCCCTAGATAGCCCAGCAGCCACATGCAGTGCCCTGGAGGGACCCACACGCATCCCTGGTGAGACCCAAAGCAGCCCTGGTGAGATCTGTACGCATCCCTGCTGAGACCCAAATGCATGCCTGCTGAGATCTACACACATCCCTGCTGGTTTGGCGGGGAGGGGTGCGCATTGAGGAACCTGGCCTTGTGGCACCAGAGAGAGTAAATCCGGCCCTGCTTGTAGTACAAATGCCATCATCTCCACACAATCAGGACACACTAATTGGTGTTTTTTAGATCTTTATTAAACATTATTATATGCTTTTTATAGTGCGTAGTTCAGGCCAAGGTCTTCTTGTATTGCCCTTAATTAGATGCGATAGTCTGAAATACAAAATAGAATGAGACAAATGTAAGACCAGTTCCATAACTGCACATGAATATACAATCCACTATCCCCATCAGTCCCATAGACACAAGAGAACGTGAGGAAATCTCTGCAAAGAGGGCAGAACCCCCTCTTCAGTTGTCACCAGAACAGGTGTCCCCATTGGAAGATTTCCCTTCTAATTCTGTTCAGGTGCCAACTAAAGGTTTGGATTACCCATCAGTGTCTATCCCGTGATAATGGTCACCAGAACAAATGGAGACGGTGACTCTCCCAGTGGTGACCTACACAGCAATAAAAATATGAGAGAGGGTCTAACCCATCTCTACTATCCTCTATCTAGAGATACACTACTTTAGGCGGGTTCACGTATATGTACGTCCTGAAGTCATGCAGCCATGGTTTTGGCATCATTTTAAAAAGCCAGCAATGGGCGTTCAGGCACAAGTGATCCGGTGGCTATATAGCCGTCTGATCATTTGTACTGAGCCGCAAAATGTACCTACCCTGGGCTGCGCTGTCCCTCGTGCGGGCCCGGGACCAGCACGGCAGGTCTCCCCTTATCAAACGGAGGGAGATCAGCAAGCTTCTAGCCTCTGATCTCTCCTCCGATCACTGGACCCGGAAGTGATGTGTGTTACATCACTTCCGGTGTCACTGCTTAGAGCAAGGAGAAGAAGCTGGTGAAGCAGATCTCTGCTTCATCAGCTTCTTTGGGGTCCCTAGGTGACATTAGGGCTCTGAAAGACCCCTGATGTCTCCATAAAGAGGACCTGTGACATCATATTTGCTATTACATAGGGAGCTCGTTAGCCCCCTATGTAATAGCAATAAAGTAAAGTGTTAAAAAAAAAAAAAATATTAAAGCAACATATAAAAAAATGCAAAAATGTTTAATGTCTCCCCCACAAACACGCACATACAAACGCAGCAGTGTTGGATTCGCCTATGTGCAAAAGAAAAAAATTGCAACACACACGTTACATATTGCTGCGAATGTTGGAGTGAGAGTAACTCTAGAGCCATCAATCACTGCTTACACTAAACTGATGGGCAGTAAAAGCTTTCAAAGCGTCGCCTATGGCAAATTTAGGGTATTGTAGTTTTTGCGGTTTCAGGGACGCATGCAATTTTAAGGCTTGACATGTTTGGTATCTATTTACCCGGCGTGACCCCGCCTTTTATATTTGACCAACAAATTGGGTATTCTATTATGTTTCTGTGCACTAAATTTCATTTTAGTGTATTTTTTACTAAAAATACTGGTTTGATAAACATTTGCACCAAAACCGTGCAACATAAAAAATTGCAACTAGCATTTCTTTATTCTACAGGGCCTCGGCTTTCAGAAAATGTATCATTGTTAGGGGGTCTGAAGCTGTTTTCTAGCCAACATTTCAGATTTTATCATGTGTGCGCAAATAGTAATAAATTGCTCTGGACAGCGAGTGGTTAAAGCTGGCCATACACTTGGCAATTTTCAGTAATTTTCAAGTACTTGTCATCCATTGGGAATCGATTGCAAGTAATCGCCAGAAACTAACCAATCTGCCACCGATGAGTTCCAGAACTTGTTTAATTGTGACTGAGAAATAACTTTGGCCTCTTTGATTGGGTTCATTGAAATTCTAAATATTAACAGTCACCTATAAAGCCATCCACAACTCCGCCCCCGGATATATCTCAGACCTTGTCTCAAAGTATCACCCTAAACGTCCCCTCTACTCGAGTATATACGGTAATAATAATAATAATAATAATAATTGAAATGGATTTTCAATGGGAAATTACTATGGCAAAACTGATTGGATTTGTTCCTCTGCGTTCTATCGGGGGAATTTCGATCCCATATCTTTTTTATTCAATTGAAACCACCAGTGGATATCTTCAAACAGAACCCAAATTTTGTTTGTTTGATCAAAAATACCCAGAATAACCCTGTGAAGTGATTTTTGCCGTATAACTGAATAACCGTATCAGGTTGTGACGTCATGCGCTCACCGTGCTGATCCAGCTGTTGAAGTCAGAGGCGCGGGTGAAGACGGGGGGCTTCTTGTAGTAGTTACATCCAAGAGAAGATCCAAAACTGACGATACCGTGGACCTCATAGGCGCCTTGGGCATTCAGGCAGTTCAGGGGTCCTCCGGAGTCACCCTGAAAGACACAGGTCTCCTTAAAGGACATGTCCGCACTAGATTTTCATTGGTAAATATGTACATTGCATTACGCTGCTTTATTGCCCTTGAGAGTTAATAGCAATTTCAATAGGAGGTGTCAGCAATGGCGGCCTGCATGTTTTTCCTGACAGTTTTCTCTTCAGTGATTCTTGGAAACCCGACTAAGTGAAAGAGATTACATTCCCAAAGTCCCTTCTCCCACCTCCATGTTGGAGTCAATGAATCTTCTGAATCTTCTGTCCTCTTGATACAACTATTTCTAATTGTATGATTTTTATGTCTCTTTAAAACTCTAATAGATTGTAAGCTCTTCTACCTTCTGTCTTCTCCCTTATACCCTAATAGATTGTAAGCTCCTCTACCTTATTTATCCTCCCTTATACCCTAATAGAGTGTAAGCTCTTCTACCTTCTGTCTCCTCCCTCATATCCTAATAGAGTGTAAGCTCTTCTACCTTATTTATCCTCCCTTATACCCTAATAGAGTGTAAGCTCTTCTACCTTCTGTATCCTCCCTAATATCCTAATAGAGTGTAAGCTCCTCTACCTTCTGTATCCTCCCTCATATCGTAATAGAGTGTAAGCTCTTCTACCTCCTGTATCCTCCCTTATACCCTAATAGAGTGTAAGCTCTTCTGCCTTCTGTATCCTCCCTTATACCCTAATAGATTGTAAGCTCCTCTACCTTCTGTATCCTCCCTTATACCCTAATAGAGTGTAAGCTCTTCTGCCTTCTGTATCCTCCCTTATACCCTAATAGATTGTAAGCTCTTCCACCTTCTGTATCCTTCCTTATAGTTTAATAGAGGCTGAAGGCAGGGAGGGGTGACTGGCCTGTAATGCACCACTGCAGCAGAGTAAAGTCAGGCTGTCTGACAGGTACTGTATGTGTAAATCTCAGGACTGGATGGACAGACTTGCAAATCTTTGGCAGGCAAAACAGCTTTTGTATATGTATTTTGACTGTGTACTAACTGGAGTTCAGCTTTAAAGACAGCGGGCAACATACTCTGTAAAAGAATAAATAACATACATAACAGCTGGAGACAATTCCATCTCCTCCAGCACAGACCATGTTGGTGGCAACAGATCTGCCCCACCAGTCGGACTGAGAGCAGGTGGCGTAGTCAACCACAAGCAGAAAACCTTGCTGGAGCTTGTCTGGAGCAGGGCCATTAGCTAGAAGAAAATGAGGTTCATTATGAGTTCCAGGACCTGTGCAAGACCCCAGACACAGATACACCTCAGAGAGACACCCCGTGCAGATACACCCCCCAAAAAAAGAACACGCCCATTCTTCTAATGAGTTACATGCATATTGAAACTTATGGCACCTACACATTAGAGCACCCAGTTGTATTCACTGTCTACCCTCTACCAGATATCCATATACACAATCAATATTTTTTGTTGTTTTTGGTCTGTACCATATGTGAACTTACCACAAATTGGACCTTAGGACCTACCTATTGTTGTAAACAATTGTAATGATTTGGTTAGTTTGAACATCTCTCTTTGGACACTGAACAAATTCAGTGGTGTCCCCCCCCGTCTCTCTGTCTTACATAGTGAAGATGTAAATCCTAAATCTACTTTTTAGTATGTTTGGCTTCATGCCTTACTGTATACCCTGTAAACCTTTTAGAGTTGGGCTGAATATATGATAGACCTGAAATGTACCCCAACAGCCAACTGAAGGAGTGTGTATGTAAACCTGATGGGATCCTGCCAGTTGGCCATTGTGCTGCCTATCTAATAGACCTGATAAGTAACCCAACAGCCAACTGAAGGATTGTGTATGTAAACCTGATGGAGATCTTTCCAGTTGGCCATTGGGCTGCCTAAGGACCAGTTCACACCACATGCAGTTGTGATGCAACCCGTTTATTTTGACTGCTGCAGTCAAAATACATCCCAATGCTTTCCTATGGGCTTTCTTGTGCTTAATTCACACCATTGCAGTCCGTTCAGATGCAGTCAGAGTACTGCTTGTCCTACTTTACCTGCACAGACGCACGCAGTTGTGATGCAGTTGTAAATGATAAATGTAGACCTGATGTAAATGACAGACCTGATAGGTAACCCAACAGCCAGAAGGAACGCACACATAAAACCATTCAGGATCCTGCCAGTTGGCTATTGGGCTGCCTATCTAATAGACCTGATACGCAACCTAACAGCCAACTGAAGAAATGCACATGTAAACCTGTTGGAGATCCTGCCAGTTGATCATTGGGCTGCCTAACTGATAAACCTGATAGTTAACCCAACAGCCAACTGAAGATGCACACATGTAAACCTGTTGGAGATCCTGCGAGTTGGCCATTGAGCTTCCTATCTGATAGACCTGAAACGCTACCCAACAGCCAACTGAACAAGCACGCACATAAACCTGTTGGAGATCCTGCCAGTTGACCGTTGGGCTGCCTATCTGCTAGGCCTGATAGATAACACAACTGCCATCTAAAAGGAGCACGCACATAAACCCATCGGAGATCCTGCAAGTTGGCCATTGGGTTGCCTATCTGATAGACCCGATGGACAACCCAACAGTCACACACACAGCAGGCTGACAACCCTGCTGCTGATAATTGCGAGGCAGTGGTTTAGTGTTACCAGCCTACAACAAGAACCTGTTGTTGCAGGGAAGATCTCCAGGTAGGAAACTTATTAACAGATTCAGGCATATATTGAAGTATGATGTCAGATATACTAAGGATTACGTTGAGGGTTTGCTTACACTTTAAAGCTAAGAAGAAAGATCAGGCAAGGTGACCATAACCAATAAAACCTCTCACTTACTTTGAAGGTTTCCCCATCCAGTTACATAGCATCCAGTGTTGTGTTCTAGGATTTGGCCAGCAGCGGGCAGACAGGCAGGCTGGATGGTCTCACTGTATTGTACAGGTTCAGCTAACTTCAGCAGAGAAATGTCATTGCTTATAGAGAAACAATACAAAAAGGTAAGTGTAGGTTCTATGACTTGCCATCAAAGATATTTCATGTATTTAAGCTTTCGGAGCAATATTTAAAAGGAGAACTACGTGGTCAGGGCTTTTCCCCATAATTCTCCTAAGGGTCACGGGAGGACATAAACTAGCGTCCTCCCGTGACCCAAAGCTCAGTATATTGCGAGCTGCAGCTCGCTGTATACTGAGACCTGCCGCAGCCGGGACGGATCCGAACATTACTGTCGTGATCAACCCAGCTGCGTGAGTGACAGCTGGCTCTGCCTATCTAGAGACAGAACCAGCTGTACCCTCCCCTCCCCCGTCCATTCCGCCAGTCAGCGCTGGAGCGGGGAGGGTGGGAATCCCTGCATGGAGCCGTGAGTGGACTGGATCAGGGGGGGAATCACTGCAGGGACAGGATCGAGACATGAGTGAGCGACGATGTGTGTTCGCTCACTCCCCGATCTATTGAGCCGACGTGAGACAGTTTCATTGTCACACGTCGGCTAGAACTATGAGGTTGAGTGATTTTCACTCACCTCATAGTTCTCCTTTAATACCTTAACCTAACAAATAATCTATTTCTGATATACTCGGAATTTGGCTGGTAGGACGTGCCCATTACGGTTCCCTTAAACTCAAAAAAGTGAATATTAAAAGATAAGCTATTAAATATCATACAGTGAAAAATATATATGTGAAAAAAAAGACAAATATGTTTCTTTTTAACCCATATACAAAATATTAGTTATTTTTTCACTTACAAGTAGCACAGGGGCAACAATGTCTCACTTCATGTCCTATTAAAAAGACTTTAATACATATCATACGTTATTATAAAAGGAAGGAGAATGCAATTTCAATGTGACCTACCCGCCTGAAAGCCTGTTGGGGTTCCATCTCGGATGGTTAATGAGTTTGACAACGCTGATGGTTTTTTGACCCGTTTCCAGCTCGCGGAAGTTGTGTTTTCCCAACATCACTCTGTAGGTATTGGAAGAACTGGCGGGAAGCAAAGACAGGTTCAACTCCCGTGTTGTTGATTTGTTTTAAAATCCCTATTATTAGAATACTTTTGTCTATCGCAAAAAAAAACAACACAGATCTACGTATGAAGACACTAGGAGGGAAATGTATCAAATCTGGAGCAGTTGTGCACAGCAACCAATCAGCTTCTCTCTTCAGTTTGTTCAGTTAAGATTTGAAAATGAAAGGTGGATAACAAGTCTGTATAGAGCGTCTATCATCCAGGCAGATCTAAACATGTATCAGTATTTATGAGAGTGTATGCTCACTTGCTTCCAATATACTAATTATCAGCAGGCATCATCTTAAGGAATCCTAATAGGATCTGAATGGTCACATGCACTTTAGTGTATAAGATTTTGCTGTGTGTAAGTCTATGGGGGTGATTTACTAACCTAAACACACGCACGCACTAGGTGCGTGTGATTTTTACACAGCAAAAAGTATTTATCAACCAAAAAGTCTCTAAAAGCATATTTCCACTAATGCCATATATGGAAAAATCATGCACATGATGCATATATAATGCTGCTTCACAGTTTAGACAAAAATGGTTAGCTCATGCATTTACATTCCTGCATTCATCAACGCAAGCAACACAACGTAGAGCTAATTTACACAACATCACCTTGCAAGTCATGCTGGGCTTTGCACAACACACCTGCTGGGTGTGTACACATTACAAAGGTGTTTAGATTCCACCCATAGATAATGCTGGGAGGGAACACACTACAGAGGTGTATACATGTTCGTGGTGTGTTTATAAGGTTAGTAAATCAACCCCTATGAATCATACCGAATAAAAGGCTGGAAAGAAGAGATGGTCATGTCATCTCCACCATTTACCAACTTTGGGTTTCAGACTTCCCCTCCAGTGACCCCCTTTCATGTGTATGGTTTGCCTTTTTAACTACTTACCAGAGGTCTTTAGATCAGTAATGTGATGCCCAGGGTCCTCTTCAGATCTTCTCCAAGTGCTGGGCAGTCCTCAATGATGTAATCATGTCACTAGCACTCTCCACACAGAGCGGATCTCCGCACAGTGGGAGCATTTCTCTCTGGTGATGCTCCCTCAGGGGTGGGTCCGTATTGCCCTGCATTTACAGTATATCCGTAGTCTTCCAATGGGAACGACACTTGCCGTCATTCTGTCCAGAAGACTGGGGACATCTTGTGGTGGAGAAGAGGTACTGCTGGTAACAGCTCCAGACGGGAGGTAAGTATTGCAGCTAATGACTTTTTATTTTGTAAAAAAATAATATTAGCCCAAAGATGGGCTTTGAGTTCTGAGTGGTACTTGTGGACAGTACACACTGTGAATATTTCAGATATTTATACTTGAGGTCTAATACTATCTTAATTGGGCGGGCAGAATGAGAACAGGCATATAACAATAAATAATTATCCACCTACCTGATGCAGTGAGCGGCGGTCAGTACCCAGTTCTCGTTAAGGAGGCTTCCACCACAGGTATGATACCAATATCCATTATAGATGTATTGCAGTGACACCTGGGTTCCAGAAGAAGACAAATATAATTTATTATTACTCTCATTATTGCAGTGACATCTGTTTCTAAAATGAAGAGGACAAATACTGTAATCCCCTTTATTATTATGATGATGACAATGATGACAATGATGATGACATGTTGATCCAATGAGTTCAAATATATTTAAAACCCATTTTTTTTAATATTAGATAGAGACGGGAAGGGCTAAAACCCTCACTTCCTGTCCTGTAGGCACAACAGGAAGTAAGAGGATATCTCTTCAAAGTGAGAGAAATGCCTCTTAGATAACTGTCACTGTACCAAATGTCCCCACTGGCATATGTCTCTTCTACTCTTGTTCTGATGACAACCCAAAGTGTTGGATTTTCCCTCACTATGTCACCAGGACAAACTGAGAGGGTGAATCTCCCTAATGGGGGCACATACAGCAAACTGAAACCGGATGTCGTGTTAATTCCGTCAACTAATCATTTTTGTCATAGTTTTAGTCAACAACACTTTTTCAGTGACTAAAACTAAAGAAACCTTGGAGGACAGATAGCAGGACACTGGGAGGATCTTTCAAATGCTTGCTTTGTGTGCTCTGTTTAGCAATTAAAACTTGACACGTTTTGGATTTAGATACAATTTAAGAAGAATATGGAATATTATAGGGACTCACCTGCCATGGCCAGCTGTGTGGGACCACCTCCTCTCCGTTCACCACCCTCGCTACAGCAGGCGGGTAACTGGCAACGCCACAGCCGGAAGCTTGAAGACAAAATACAACATTCTATTTTTATTATACCCTATTTTAGACATGGTGATGTCATCACTGGGTCCCTGTGCTTCATGGCTGGTGGGAGGGGCCAGCAGGATGCTTCCCGAAAACATCACAGCACCCTGCCTCAAGAGCTCTCGGCCCTGATGCAAGCAGTGGGTTGGCTCTTGGGAGGAGTTATGCAAATATCGAAAATGCCTTGATGGGCAGGTGTCACTCTGGAGGAGTTGTCGTTCCTTGGCAGGGTACATTTCCATGCAGGCCACCCACATGTGATGCTGAGCCTCCATAAACTGAAACTTAATGAATGAAAGGGGCGTGGCCAGGGACTTTCAGGCTGAGGAGCAAAAAGTTATAAATGATGCTGGACCCCCTCCAGTCAGGAAATGAGGCGGGCTCTATCTGACTTGCGGCAGCTTCTAATGCACATTGAGATGCTGGACATCCGTCATCCAGGAAATGAGGCGGGCTCTATCTGACTTGCTGCAGGAAATGAGGCGGGCTCTATCTGACTTGCTGCAGGAAATGAGGCGGGCTCTATCTGACTTGCTGCAGGAAAGGAGGCGGGCTCTATCTGACTTGCTGCAGGAAAGGAGGCGGGCTCTATCTGACTTGCTGCAGGAAAGGAGGCGGGCTCTATCTGACTTGCTGCAGGAAATGAGGCGGGCTCTATCTGACTTGCTGCAGGAAAGAAGGCGGGCTCTATCTGACTTGCTGCAGGAAATGAGGCGGGCTCTATCTGACTTGCTGCAGGAAATGAGGCAGGCTCTATCTGACTTGCTGCAGCTTGTAATGCACATGGTAAGGAGCTCCCAGTGTGCAGTGAGATCAGAAGAATCCATTTCAGTCCAGGAGAGGAGCCGGTACAACTGTGCAAGACTGAAGGGGAGGCCGGAGGTCAAACATGGTGTCCTGTATCATCACTTACCTTCGGCAACCAGCAGCGCTAGACCTACAAAGAAAATCATGCTTGTGTGAAGTGCCCGCTGTGCGGGAGTCATATTTATATAGGGACCTTATCATCTTCATTTTTTTATTTATACAGCGATAAGTCTCTGGATAACTAGGGCTGGACACCATAGCTGGTCCCTTTCTCACAATAATATGTACAAAACAGATTAGGAGACCTTGAGCAAAAGAAAAAAAACGGCCACGTGAGGAACTACACAGAGAGAATGGTCATGGAGGACTGACAGTCTGTACAAAGATGGCAACACATACACGGCTTGTTTAAGGATAGAAAATCCATAAATGAATGCGGCTCTGTGTTCCTTCATACATCATTGAATGCAACTGGTGTCAGCATCTAAATCTGGCTCAGTATCAGCCTCTTGCAGTATGTGTACAGCAGAGCTCAGATTGCCTCTGGGGATCACTGTTTTGAAAATGCTTGCTGCCTGGATTTTTGGGCCACTGGTCCACAACAAGTATTATGATGAAAGACTTTGACCGCCCTGCACCTGCACTGTTTCTCTTTTAAAATTATATTTCATAATTATTAGGCTTAATTGTCACGATCTGGGATCAGGCTCGGAGTCCAGTAGCTGAAACAGCAGGCAAATTCGTAGTCAAACAGGCCGAGTTCGGTACACAAGCAGACTGTAGTAGTATAGGAGCAGGCAGAAGCGTAGTCAGAGATCAAGCCGAGGTCAGTAGCCAAAAGGTATCAGGTAGGAAGTGGAAGATGATGAGAGTAGTCGGTGATTCAGCAGCCAAAGATCCGTACACGGGTAGCAGTATGAGCGGATCACAGGAGGAGCAAGGAAGCACGATATTGGCAGGAGCACAATAATCTGGCAAACAGGAAGTGCAGAGGCGTGGCTTAAATAGGAAGTTCAAGGAAGGAGCAAGGAGTTCAGAGTTCAGCAGAAACTAGGTTTACCTGAGGATTACACATGAGATCAGGCAAGGAGCTATCCAAGGTTCTAAGGTGGTTCAGATCTGGTTCTTGAAATTAATTCCTGAATGCTCTTATCAGAAAATAAAAATCTTTGCTTCCATGGTTCAAAACTCTGTTATATCCTGTCTGGGCGTGGCAGCAAGTGATACAGACTTGTTTTAAAGAATTCAGAATTGCAACAGTGGATGCTGTGAACGGCGCATCTTTCCGTTAAAGCATGGTGTGGTGGGGAGTACTGTTTGTGTGTGTGTAAAAGATTAGCTTTGGTGTAACCCTGCCCCAGTGACAATCAATCTTAACATGTTGCTACTTCGATTGTTGCCCCCACAATCTGGAAACTATCAGTGCAGCATGTGGCTGAGAGTGCTATCATCACACCACTAACCACCAGTGCCTTGGGGGTAGGGTATTAATGTTACTACCACTGACCACCAGTGCTGGGGATTACTAATACTACCACTGACCACCAGTGCTGAGGGGTAAATGATACTACCACTGCCTACCAATGATGTATGGGTAAATGCCAATCAATTAGACACCAAACACCCCTTTGTGACAATGTCCGGCAAGCAAAGGGGACACATTAGACCTCCAAAGCAAAAGATCCATACATTGTTTTTGGTGTCTATCAGGTCTTAGTTTCATTCTGTATTATCATTTGTTGGTTGTCGGATTGTAAGACCTTGTCATAGGGTGATATTGCTCTAGTTCAAGGGTCACCAACCTGCGGCTCCGGAGCCGCATGTGGCTCTTTCATCCCTCTGCTGCGGCTCCCTGTCCAACATAATGTTGCTGATTAAAATGATTAGACAGGGCCGCTGTTCTATCAAAGTTTGTGACTAGGTTGGAATGTGTGACCGGTGACGTGTTCACACATTTCAATATAATCCCACCCAGTAAAAAAAGATATACATTGTGAGGATTAGCTCCAAATAGTAGCGCATAAAGGACGCATCCACTCGCTGTAATAATCATTCAAGGGCTTACTTGCCCACTTTTATTAAATGAAAGTCCACAAAACAGAACAATTACCCTCGCAGGGGTTCTTTAGCATCTCATGGTAGCACCTGCCCATCCAGCCTCCTGGCTTTGCATTGGCAGCACTGCTGCTCTGGCCTTAGACCTCAGGCCACTGTCTGTTCCTCCAGACAGCCTCAGTCATGTGCTAACCTGCACACTAGGGGTTCTTCCCCCCAAAAAAAAAAAAAATTCTTGATTGTCATCAGAACAGCAATAGATGGGAACTGTTTCAGTAAGGACACTCTCCTGCACACAATGTTTGCAGTGTGCCTCCAACCTGCTTTCCAGCCAGAGTGTACCATATACTAAGAGCCGGGCGAGGAGCTATGTAAGGGCCATACACATCTCCCCGCCCAGCTTTTAGCAACCTGGGGTGCTCTGACCGGCATCCCGTCCAGCTCCTGGCAACCAGTGATGTCCCGGTTGCCCGGAGCTGGGCAGGATACCCTGCCAGGTGGGGAGATGCAAAGCCTGCATCACCACTAGACCCCCACCCTCTGCCGTCTCAAGTGGCAAAAAGGCTAGGGGCACCAATCGATAGATAGATAGATAGAGAGAGAGAGAGAGAGAGAGAGAGAGAGAGAGAGAGAGAGATAGATAGATAGATAGATAGATAGATAGATAGATGATTCATAGATATGTTTATGTTTTTTAGATGGGGTAGCTGGTGTCAGATCTATCAAACTATACCCTACTGGGTACTTGACCACATACAGCCCTTTCATCTGCCCAGATAGCAAGAAATTGTGCTGCAAGTTTGAAAAATGTGGGAAACGGGTCCAAATGGCTCTTTGAGTGTTTAAGGTTGCTGACCCCTGGCCTAGTTGGAATAATTGGCTTTGAGGGAGTGTCCACTGGAGCTTAATAAGATACTTTAACATCACTTCAGCCCGCCCCCTCAGACCCTGTCATTGCTTGTGGTAATTCTATAACCACTAAAACATCCATGCAGGGGCGGTGCTAGGATTCTTGCCTACACAGGCAAGGTGCATTTTTAACTCCCTAATGGGGGTTAATGTTACAGCCACTGGCCACCATCGAAGGGAGGATTATTGTTGCCACTTATAACAGTGTTAGGGTTTTTGCCGCCAATGACACAGATGCTGGGGCTTGCTATTACCGCCAATGACACAGATGCTGGGCATTGCTATTACCGCCAATGACACAGATGCTGGGGCTTGCTATTACCGCCAATGACACAGATGCTGGGGCTTGCTATTACCGCCAATGACACAGATGCTGGGGCTTGCTATTACCGCCAATGACACAGATGCTGGAGTTTCCAATACTGCCATTGACACCAGTGCTGGGGGACACTATTTCTGCCAATGACACCGATGCTGGGGATTGCTATTACCGCCAATGACACCAATCCTGGGGCTTGCTATTACCTCCAATGCCACCAATGTTGGGGGACAACTATTACTGCCAATGACACCAGTGCTGGGGGATAACTATTACCACCAATGACACCAGTGCTGGGGGATAACTATTACTGCCAATGACACCGTTGCTGGGGGAAAACTATTACTGTCAATGACACCAGTTCTGGGGGATAACTATTACTGCCAATGACACCAATCCTGGGGGTTACTATTACTTCCAATGACACCAATGCTGGGGGTTACTATTACTGCCAATGACACCAGTGCTGGGGGATAACTATTACCTCCAATGACACCAATCCTGGGGGTTACTATTACTTCCAATGACACCAATGCTGGGGGTTACTATTACTTCCAATGACACCAATGCTGGGGGTTACTATTACTTCCAATGACACCAATGTTGGGGGATAACTATTACTGATAATGACACCAGTGCTAGGGGACACTGTTACTGCCAATGACACCAATGCTGGGGGACACTGTTACTGCCAATGACACCAATGCTGGGGGACACTATTACTGCCAATGACACCAAATGCTGGGGGATAACTATTATGCCAATGGCACCAATCCTGGGGGTTACTTTTGCTGCCAATGGCAACAATCCTCGAGGTTACTATTACTGCCAATGACACCGACACTGGGGATTATACTCCAACACTACAAAGCATACACTGCAAAGCAACACATGCTTTATTAGCCTTGTCTTAAGGTGTTGTATGCATGATGTTTAATTTCATGATTATTAGGAAAAATATTTTGATGTACGAGGTGGTGGTGGTGGTGTTGGGGTGCTAAAGAAAAATACAATTTGCCTCCAGTACCAGATACACCTCTGATCTCAATAAACCATGCCCTTCGCTCAGAACCGGCTTCCTGATAGTAAACCATACATGTGCAATGTGTGTGGGCACAGCCACTATGGCTGTGTGTGTGCCGGTGACAATACATGAGCACAGTTGGGAGACAGTTGTCACCCTAGAACAGGAGGTTCCTTAACCAAGAAAGTTTTGTATACATTTTTAACGATTGGGTTTATATCTACCTATAATTATTTATAGGAGCTCAAGATGCCAGTAAACCAGGATGGTCTGTTTTGCACGTAGACCAGGGACCTCTTCATGGTTGACTAAGGAGGCTGAAAATAAATTTTTCCGGACATTATAAGGTGGAATTCCAGCTAAAACGTTTTGTTTTTTTTAAAGAAAATCTTCCGGGGTGAATACTGAATCCTTGAACAGGAGGATTATGCTCACATTAAGGTTCCATTTTCTGTTTTGACTGGAATGCTAGCAGTGTGCAGCAACACAAGGGGCACATGTATAAGAAGCCAAAATGTATATTTTACCTCCAGAGCCGTAGCTCGCTCTTTTTGCGCCCGAGGCAAGAACAGAATAATTGTGCCCCCCAACAGACGTGTGCGGTATGTGACTTCATGCGCCCCGCCTCCAGGATGGTGGCGCGCAAGCGCAGAATGTGCTGGTGACCAAATCCAAAATAGCATCAATATTTGTTTTGTTTGAGGAAACTAATGAAAACATTTTTAGTTTCCGTTCATTTCGTCCAAAACAAATTTTTTGTCTTTGCACATGTCTAGTAATTTGTATGCATGAGAGTGTGTGTGGGTGTGTGTGTGTGTGGGGGTGGGTGGCTGGGTGTGGGTGGGTGTTTTTGTTTTAATTTATTTTTATTTTACTGTTGAGGGGCTTCGGGGAAATATTAGGGGTCTAAACAGACCTGACATTTCCCTTTTGAAATAGAAAAAGAGATTGAGGACACAGAGTTCTCTGCCCATACAGGCAGGGGAGAGCAGCGGGGATCCGAGGAGAAGCTGGAGCCTGTGCCGCTCCTCTTCTCCCTGCCGAGCCAATGGCGCCCTGTGCTCGCCATGGCAACAGGGGCAGGGCCCTGGCTGCGCCCCCTCTCAGCTGCGCCTGAGACGAGTGCCTCACTCACCCCATGGTAGCTAAAGCCCTGTTTACCTCCATTCTATATGGAAAACCATTTCTATAATTTTCTCATAATTCAAGAAAGGTAAATATAGCCAACCAATTATACTGTAGATAGATTTTGCCACTTTGTAAACCAAATATTTCACCAATTGCCCCAATTTAAAACCAGTCTACCTTCACCATTATATTTACATTGAACTCTCCCATGCCAGTAAAACTGGGGGAAATGGATATACAGTATATGTAAAAAAAAAAATCAAAGAAACTGGACTTGCTGTATTTTTCTTGAAGACGTTTCGCTGGTCATCCGACTAGTTATCTCAATTCAGAAGCTAGTTGTATGACCAGTGAAACATCTTCAAGAAAAATACATCAAGTCCTGGTGCTTTGATTCATTTTTTTATACAGATATACCATGACCTGGATGAATGAGAACCTCCATGGATACACCTTTGATGGGGGTTGTTTTCCCTTTAAAATCTGACCGATCCTCCTCTCCAATCCCTGCCCCTCCACTATCGCCATTGACAGACTTGCAATGTGACATTTCAAGTTTATTAAGATTCCATCTGTGCTCAGGAGACAGTGTGACCCAAAGTTTCTTGGTTTACATTAAATGATTGCTCTGGAATCTATGGACAGTACAAGTAGACCCATCAGAGTGATCATTTGTGTGTTTTTATGCCCTGGGCAAAGATTGACTCTGACTCCTCCCCCCTATCCTGATACACTATATGGCCACAAGTTAGCTGACCCCTGTATGAGCTTGTTGGGCCTTCCAATACCAAAACCATGGCCATTAATATGGAGCCACCACCATTTACAGCTATAATAGGGAAGGTTCTTCACAAGATTTTGGAAGGTGTCTGTGGGAATTTGTCCCATTTGTGAGGTCAGGTGCTGATGTTGGATGAGAAGATCTGTCTCACCATCATCATTCCAATTCATCCCAAAGGTGTTCATTAGGGTTGAGGTCAGGACTCTGTGCAGGACACACGAGTTCCTTCACACCAAGTTGGCCAAACCAAGTCTTTATGGAGCTGGCTTTATACACAGGGGACATATTGGGGAAATGGGGGATCTTCATACTGGCTGCCTCACAACAGCCAATCACAAATGATCTTTCAGTGAAATGAGATCTGATTGGCTGCTTGAGATTGCTGAGACTTTAGAGAATAGGGCTGTCTGAGCTTAGCCCGCACCACATATGAACCAAGGGAAGCGAAATCAGATAATTAAATGATTCAGACACAAGGTGGGTCCATTTGCTCACTCATCTTTATTAGTTCATAAATTCCAAGACTGGTGTAGATGGTAAGAGTGCAGTTGGAGAATGTTACGGTCTTGCCATGGTAGAGGACTTTTAATTGTTGGCGATTTTCTGCAAGTGAAAGGGATAGGTCAGAAACGTATTATATCATTCATATACACAGTACATGTAACCCAATGTTTTTCATCTATTCAATGCCCCCTCGGCCTTCTCACCCCCTATTTCTTGTATTAATTATGTTATGACCAACCCAAGATGGCACAAAAATTGACTTTTTGTGTATTTTATCTGTCTGTAGTTCAGCTTTATTATTATTATATTATTAATATTCATGATGGACTGAAGGGTGATAGTCTGTGCAGTGGAAGGCCAATGAGGAGGGAGTTACAATAGTCGAGACGAGAGATAAGGGAGTGAGTAGCTTTGTGGTTTCATTGGTGAGGAAGGGGCGTATTTTGGAGATGTTACGAAGGTGAAGACGGCAGGATCTGGATAGAGATTGGATTTGGGGAAGAAAGGTGAGGTCCGAGTCAAGGATGACACCTAGCACCTAGCATTAATAACGGAATCAACTCCCATCGTTTGAAAGGCCAATGCAACCCAAAAGGTACATTCCAGTTTTGGAAATCTGAACGATATTGGGGCTCCTATTTCTTATAGACTCCGATGGAAAAGGATCCCATGCAGAATTCTAAACTGTGCCACACCAAGGGCATTAAAAAGTCAAAAGATGGTGTCATGCTCTACGGTGGATTCACCATAAGGTAACCTAAATAACTGTCAGGAACTGGATCTGAACCCAAGGCCTCTGCTGTGTCTGGCGGTGACTCTACCTGCTGAGCCACCTTAGAACCTTGGATAAGTCCTTGCCTGATCTCCTGTGTATACTCAGGTAAACCTAGTTTCTGCTGAACTCTGAACTCCTTGCTCCTCCCTTGAACTTCCTATTTTAGCCACGCCTCTGCACTTCCTGTTTGCCAGATTATTGTGCTCCTGCCAATATCTTGCTCCCGCTGTGATACAATCCGCTCATGCTGCTTCCTGTGTACCAACCTTTGGCTGCTGATTCACCGACTAATCTCATTGTCTTCCACTTCATACCTGATACCTTTGGCTGCTGACCTCGGCTTGTTCGCTGACTACGCTTCTGCCTGCTCCTCCACTACTACCGTCTGCTTGTGTACTGAACCCGGCCTGTTATATAACGAATTTGCCTGCTGTTTCAGCTACTGAACTCTGAGCCTGATCCTGGATCGTGACAATAACTGGGAATACTTAGAGATCGCAGCTGCAACAGAGTGACCACTTTCAGTGCCTTGATGGAAAGGCCGCGACACAGATTCTGCTGGAACATCTCCCTATTGGAGTTTGTGAGATTGAAGAGGTCAATGCTTCATTCAAACCACCCTTGAGGTCTAAACCCGAATCCTTTCAAAGGTGTTGTAGGCTTTTTAAAGCAGAGCTTATAGTACAATAGTACAAGATCTACATATAATATCAGGGCCCCTCCTACTAGGACCAGATACCTAGAACTCTCTATGTACACTGTCTTATGTGAGTATAACCAGACAGGTATGTTCATAGGAAGCTGATGCCCTAGTGAGTGCAAGTGTCTATTGTCAGTATGACTCACATCGTTGATCCAGCCGATGAAGGCAGAGACTCTGGTGAAGACAGTTGGCTTCTTCTCGTAGTTGCAGCTGATGCCGGAGCCAAAGCTGACAACACCGTGCACCTCCCAGGATCCATTGGCACCCAGGACGTTCAGGGGGCCACCGGAATCACCCTGCAAAGTGCCATGAAATCATTATGTACAGTGATAATTTTACACACTAGATCTAAAAAGACAACTTACTGACACTGAGTTATAACAGGATAAGGCATCTAGAGTATCAACAGCTCAAGGTTTATTTAAATAGTTAATTTGATGGAGAAATGCTGCTCTGAGTTTGCTCCAGTGCTGCCCAGTAAAGCTTAGGCATTCGGTCATGGGATCTCTGCTACAACAGAGGATCAGAGTTCACAATGGCTGACCCTCCTCTTCAGTGGAGATCAAATGACCAATGACATAGGCTAAGCCTGCTTCATGCCCTCTCAAGGGTGCACAGCTCATATGCCTGAAGCTCGAATTTGGCATCCTATCCTAAACCGGCTTGACATCCAGATCTAGGTTCTCTGGCACCTTTTTGGCATGTCAGTGCACCCAATCAAGACTTAAACAAGAAACTACCCACATAAGCACTTTGGAGGACCGCGACTTACGTTGCATGCAGAAACAATGCCGTCACCACCAGCGCAGACCATGGTGTCCCTGACCTGCCAGCTCCACCAGTCGGACCTGGAGCAGGTAGCGTAATCCACCACTGGGAGGAGAGCCTGCTGCAGGTTATCAGCGATGGGTCCGTTAGCTGAAACACAAAGGGCATGATGACAAGTGACCGGCGAGAAGTCTGCTGACAGATCTTTTAGAAGTTCAACCAAAATTCAACCTGTCAAGTCAGGAAGAGCCAGGGAGGAGTGAATTTTAAAGCGTGACTCCAGACAAAATTTTGGGAGAGTTGAAATTTCCATTGGGTTTTATTTCTGTTTGCGACTGTCCTTGTGAGAGGCCTCAGGCTCGGGGGTCTACACACTTGGTGCAGCCATTATGAACGGCTTCTGCTCTTCCCATCTGATTTTTTATTTATATACAGAGAATGCAGCTGGAGGAGTTGGAAGGAAGGGAAAGAAAAGTAAAAATGGGAGGAAAGAAGGAAGAAAGGGAGGGAAGGAAAGGAAGAAAGGAAGGCTGACTCTTACTGCAAAGTTAGTGGTGTGTGGGTATGTATAGGTCATATGAAGGTGGGGTTGGTGAACCCCTAGTTCAAAATTCCATACAGACCGGACTTTATGGCTATAGAAGCTTAAGACATACAGGTAAAAGCTTGACATACAAAAATCAAAGTCACTGCACAACAGTAATGGAAACATAAAAGGTCCAAAGGCTCGGAACACAGGTCAAGAATATACATCCCCGGGCCAGGGGGTCCAGAATAGAGGAGGAACATCACCCGTATGGGTCTCACTATGCTGTGCCACTTATGTGGCTTTTATAACCGACCCTCCTGATGTAGAAGAGAAACCTTCCATTAGGGCAAACCATGTACTGGAACAGAACAGTCAGATAGCAAAGGAAGGAAACCACCGAGGCTGAAAGAAGAGAGTGGGACAAAGAGAAAAAGAGGAGAAAACAGATAGCGGACCAGAGGAAGGGAGAAAAAGGAGCAGGGAGGCCAAGTGAAGAGAAGGGAAGATAAGGAGGAGCTGAGTTCAGAGAGAGGTCAGTTCAAAGTGGAACCCAGGTACCAGGGCCAGGCGAGCCCCGTCTCTAATCCTTATTTTAAGGTAAAGATATAACTTACTGTACAGACGACCCCATCCAGTCACGAAGCTGTCTGCATTGTTGGCCAAGAGGGCGCCATTAGCGGGCAGGCAGGCAGGCTGAATGCTGTCACTGAGTGGTGCAGGTTTGGACAGCTTGATCAGAGCAATGTCGTTCCTGAAAGAGCGCACGCAAAGTCAGTTACAATGTACCGTCAGCCCAACATTTTTAAACCCAAAGCAGTAAATGTGGCCCAATAAAAGCATACACAGCACCGATTTTGTGACATTCATATAGTACTGGAAATGACTGTAATCAGGGGTACACTATCCAGAGCAGGATTTCTCAAGGTGAATGTTAGGTCACAGAAAATTTAGCCATCAGGGCAAATGAACCCAACGTGGGGGAACTGAGCATGCAAACCAAGGGATATGCTTACTTTGGGAGAATTAGTGAGAGAATTATAGGGAGTGTTAGTGTGAGGGTTACAGGGAGGGATAAAGTTAGGGTACAGGGAGGATTAGTGTTAGGGTTAGAGGGAGGTTTAGAGTTGGAATTACAGGGAGAGTTAGTGTGAGAGTTACACGGAAGGTTAGAGTTAGGGTTAGAGGGAGGGCTAGAATTGGAGTTACAGGGAGGATTAGTGTTATGGTTGCAGAGAGGGCTAGAGTTAGGGTTACAGAGAGGATTTGGTGTTATGGTTAGAGGAAGGGTTAGAGCTGGAGTTACAGGGAGAGTTAGGGTTACAGGGAGCGTTCGTGTTAGAGGGAGGCATAGAGTTGGAGTTAGAGAGAGGGTTAGTGTTATGTTTATAGGAAGGGTTAGTGTTGGGGTTACAAGGAGGGCTAGAGTTGGAGTTACAGGGAGGGTTAGTGTTGGGGTTACAGGGAGCGTTAGAGGGAGGGCTAGAGTTGGAGTTACAGGGAAGGTTAGTGTTGGGGTTACAGGGAAGGCTAGAGTTGGAGTTACAGGGAGGGTTAGTGTTGGGGTTACAGGGAGGGTTAGTGTTGGGGTTACAGGGAGGGCTAGAGTTGGGGTTACAGGGAGGGTTAGTATGGTATGGTTAGTCTGGTATTAGTGTTAGGCATGGTTGGTTTTAGAATTACAAGGGTGGTTAGTGTTAGGGTCACAGGACCAGCAGGATCTGAAGACCAGGACCATCAAATTCTAGTCTTACAGCAGAGTGAGCACAGGGAGCAAAATACTTCAATTAAACCCTTTGCAGATTGTGTATTCCAGTCTTGTTATACTCACTGGATTAGGAAAGAGTTCCACCTTTCATGGACAATGATCTTCTCAGGGGAAATGGCAATGGAACCTTCTTCATCTGCTGTCTGCAGGCTGTATTTGCCCAGAAAAACCCGGTAAACATTTGAAGAGCTGAAGAAAACACAAGTGAAATTAAATGATTGGCTGGCAGAGAAATCGGTGCATTGGTGCTGCACATACCCACCCCGATGTTTTGTCTTTTATCCCCTGATGTGATTCTGTGTCTACCGTTTCCTCACACTGAGGCATTATGTGGAGGAGGATAAGCGGATGAGAACACTCCCCCGAATTTATGGCATTTGAAGTCACTTTTCATGACATGCACTTAAAATAGGATTAGTGCAGTGTTTCCCGAAAGCAGTGAGCCAACCGGAGTACAGGCCCCCAAACCGCCATGAGTGCGAGTAGGTTAGGAGGCAATTTTTAGCAACATTTAAAAGGAGAACTATGGAGTCAGTGTTTTTCCCCACAGTTCTCCTCAGCGTCACGGGAGGATATAAACTAGCGCCCTCCCGTGACCCAAAGCTCAGTATATAGCGGGCTACAGCTCGCGGAATAGTGAGACCACCGCAGCATGGACGGATCCCGACATTACTGTTGAGATCCGCCCAGCTGCGTGAGTGACAGCTGGCTCTGCCTATCTAGAGGCAGAGCCAGCTGTGCCCGCCCACTCCCTGTACATTCCACCAGTCAGCGCTGGAGGATCGGACAGGGGAGGGGGGAATCTCTGCAGGGAGCAGCGAGCGACAGTCACGGCTCTCTGCAGGGGCAGGATGGAGAAGTGAGCGAGCGACGGTATGTGTTCGCTCACTTCCCGATCTATTGAGCCGACGTGTGACAGTTTAATTGTCACAGGTCGGCTCTAACTATGAGGATGAGTGGAAATCACTCACCTCCTAGTTCTCCTTTAAATACACTTGCTTATCAGCTCTTTCTAAACAGTCATTTTGTAACACAATGGAGTTTTCCTCTTTTCAATTGCTGAGCAAGTGAGTCAGTTACGTCAACCTGATAGTCACCTGATACAGTGGGCGGCGGTCAAGACCCAGGTGTCAGAGATCAGGGTGCCACCACAGGTGTGTCCCCAGGCTCCACTGCTTCCCTGGTACTGCAGGGAGATCTAAAGGAGAAAAAGAAAATGGAATGAATTGTCACTGTGTAGCATCCTACATGTCAGCCTGGTACTGGTATCCAAAGGTGACATCACGGAATATTAAACAAAATGGGGGGAATTTATCAAAACTGGGCCAGAGAGAATCTGGAGCAGCTGTGCATGGCAACCAATCAGCTTCTCTCATCAGTTTGTTCAGTTAAGATTTGGAAATGAGGGAGAGGCGCTGATTGGCTGCCACGCACGGCTGCTCCAGATTTTGTCTGCTCCAGTTTTGATAAATCCCCCCCAATGTTTTTAGGGGTATTCTAGAAATGTACATAAATAAAGCTCCCCAATAGGAGAGAGAGAGGGCTTCTAGGTAAATGTAATTTTGCATGGCAGTAAATACCCCACAAACTATTTTTTTTTTGTTACATAACCTCATGGCCTTTGCTGTACCAAAACATGGCAAGTGCTGAACCCTGAAAGCAAAATGTGAATTAGCCCAAGGCACATGCTTTTCTTGAGGAATGCCATGAATATATTATGTGATAGAACTGGGCAACCTGGCCTGCAGACAACTTTGTTACACAATATGAGAAAATTTGAACTTGGGGTGACTGTCGACCCCATTACAGCCCTTAAAGGAAAACTATGGGGTCAGTGTTTTCCCCCAAAGTTCTCCTAAGGGTCACGGGAGGACATAAACTAGCGCCCTCCCGTCACCCAAAGCTTGGTATATAGCGAGCTACAGCTTGCGGTATACCGAGACCACCGCAGCCGGGACGGATCCCGACACTACTGTTGAGATCCACCCAGCTGCGTGATTGAGAGCTGGCTCTGCCTATCTAGAGGCAGAGCCAGCTGTACCCTCCCCCTGCCCCGTCCGTTCCGCCAGTCAGCACTGGAGGATCGAAGCAGGGAATCCCTGCAAGGGGCCGTGAGTGACAGTCACGGCTCTCTGCAGGGACATGATCGAGAAGTGAGCGAGCGACAGTATGTGTTCGCTCACCTCCCGATCTACTGAGCCGACCTGTGACAGTTTCATTGTCACACGTCGGCTCGAACTATGAGGAGGAGTGAAAATCACTCACATAGTTAATGCAGCCAGAGAAAGGAAAAAGGTCAAAGGTTACATGGACAAACTTGATGTGTCTGCTTATACAATAAAGATATATGATGTCACTTATGTAAAATGTAATTTCTGCTAAATAAGATTACAATGACTGGAAGGATTCGTCCAACTAAAGTGAACATACGTCTCCCTCTTCCATTCCAGTCGTTTCAGAAATTGCTGCATTTCATCTCTTTGCAACCATCTGCAAAATGTTATCACCTGAGCTCCTCCCCTTTTTTTTAACTGTAGTGTAACTGCCCATCATCGACAGCCAATCACAAAGTGCTAAGGAGTTCAGCAAAGTGTTAAAGGAGGATATAATTCCCGGGACTTCCAACTCAGCGGGAAGTCGTTTTGCAGCTTGTCGCAATGGACTTCATTTTAGCATACCTGCCATGGCCAGCTCTTTGGTACGGTATCTTCCCCATTAACTACCCTGGAGACTTTGGGATTCACAGCTGGCACGCCACAGCTGTAGGCTGCAAAGAAAAGAAAAAATATATTCAATATAATAAATCTATATATTATTTAATATATACATTATATTTTATTATACTGAT